CCCTCATCTGTTTTGTTTCTAATCATATTTTCTTTGTTGCTTTGTCAATTATTTGGAGACATTTGGGTAGTAAAAAAATGAACTCAAAGCACTATGGAGGCTAGAGCAGAAAGGGTGCTGCAAGTTCAAGTCCACCTGGACTCCATAGTGAGTTCAAGACCAGCCTAAACTACACAGCAAGACCCTCTAAAAAAACAAACTAAACCAAAAAACAAAAGAATAATCTATGTATATTTCTTAGTATATCTTCTCTACAGTACTGCAAAATTGGCTCTAAGAGACTGAGAACAAGGCAGCTGCTTAACTTGGCACAAAATTTAAAACACAACTTTATAATTCAAAGATCTCCAGTGTCAGTTAAGAAATACAAACACCGGGTACTCCCTATGTAAGACAATGGGGAGCAGCAGGGGCTCAGGCAAAGGGAGCAGCACATGCCTGAGGGAGTAACCTCCTAATTCCCTATGGCCTACACCCAAGAATTCAGGTTTGGTTCTTCTTTTTATTTTAAAGCTATAAATTCTTATTTTCACATAAAAGATTTCAACTTCACTGTTGGCTTAATTTATTTAAACACATTAAATAGACAAATGAAATGACTGAAGATCCACTGGCCGTGCATTTGTGACTTTTTAAAGCCCTTTCTAGTTGCCACTGTGCATCATTCAGCTACACTGGGTTTCCAAACAGATGAGGGCGTTCCAGCCCATGCTTTGTATGACTCAATTATTCTTGTGTGAAAGCAAACTTTATTCAGTCAGCTATCAAGCAGGACTTAAGAAAACTGTAAGAAACTAACTGAGTTGGGTCTTTTTTGTTTTGGAGGGTTTTTGTTTGTTTGTTTGGGGTTTTTTTTGGTTTTTTTTTGTTTTTGCATGCTGACATTTCCAATTCAGGTCATCATGGTTCTACTTCTGATATTATTTAGATCAAAAAAGTGAAACAAGGGCCTGGATTTAGTTCAGTGGTTCTGTCACCTGCCTCACAAATGCAAAGCCCCAATTCAATCCCTGGTACCAAAAAAAAAAGTGAAAAAAGTGAAACAAATTAAAGTACTTCTTGCATGATTCATTCACCTTCATTCAATTAGATACAACTATAATGTGCAAACCCCAAGAATACAACTATGAAATCCTCACACTTTTTAAATAGAAATTAAGATGCCTGCCTAAGAAGTAGGTTCTGAACATTTTTCTTTTTCTTTTACTTTGTTTTCTGATTTTTTTTTCCTCACTTTCTATTTCAGAGGTATTTAAACGTGTGTAGTGCCCCTGAAAGCTAATAGAGAAGTAATTTCTTTCTCTAAAGATAAAGGACAGAAAAGCTGCCACCCAACCACATGTTTTGTTCTTCTGAAATTATTTATCCCCCTGCAATCTTCTCTGACAAAGATGTAATTGCTTCAGTAATATGAAAGCTGAAAGAAGGCATTTGGCACACAAATCTCTGCAAACACATTCATTCTAAAGAGAAGCAAAATTGCAACTGAATAGCAAATGATATGCAAAGTGTGGTTCCCTTAGAAATAAATCATATCCTAAATCCTAGAGATCAAACTGTACACACCTCAAAAACGTCAGCATTTCCTTTCACTTAATTGCAAAACCAAGAATCTTAACTACTATTAAACAATGATGAAAATCATTATGCTGCAAGTCTGATAATCATAATTCTAGAATGAAACAGAACTAGAAGCTTTTCCCAGAATGCACTTTTAAAAATAATGAGTAGATAAGCAACTATGGGGGAGTTGGAAAGTGGAATTAGTGAAATCACAAAAAAGAAAATAATAAAGAATATTCAAAGGGTGACAGGACAAGAATTTACAATTTATACCGTGACAGGAATTAATATCAGCTTCTGTGCAAAGATAAATGTGAATTTACCAAATCACTGTAGACACAATTATATTATTTTAAGGAAAGATTTACCAAACAAAAAGCCCTGCATGGTGCAAATATATATATCTGTGAAAATATCTTCAGGAGACTTCTTTTACATTAATGAATAGATTTTTTTGACTGATATTTGTCAATTAATAATATAAAAAAGTATTAAGTAGATGTATGACTACCTTCTATTAGAAAAGGAAAGATCTCGGAAAAGGTTATAATTCTTTTAATATCTTCCATAATATCTTTCAAACATCTTATTTAGAACTATCTTTGCTATATGGCTGGTGTCCTGAAACTGACAAAATAAAAATATTTAGTATATTAATCTGAATTCTTACCAGTGATATACATATCAAAATCTCTACAATTATTATGGAGTATGATTTTTAAAAATAGTTTATTCAGAACTGCTTGACCTAATATGTAGCTTTTATTCTGCCATTTCATTTAACATGTATTTGTGACAGTATTTATGATTCACTCATGTCAAAACTAGAAATATTTTGTTGCTCACAGACCATGCAACCTAAAATAAAAGGCACCTCTTGACAGGTGCCAATCAGACATTGTGCACTTTAAAAAACTAGTGTGAAAGGTCACTGAGCATAGAAATAAATAAAAAGGGGATATTGAGCAACACCACTAAGGCCTTCAGGGACTTTTCTATTCACCTGTCTTAAAAGTCAGTGCACGCTTTTGAATAGCAAGATTCATAATACATTTCTTATGTAATCATAAAAATGTAGTTTTCTGGTCAGACCATCAAAAAATATCTAATGTCATTTATATTCATTTGTTCTTCCACAACTAATATATACTTGTGAATGGTTATTTTAAGTGCTAACCATAGCACTAAATATTTTGTATATCTTATAATAATTAAAAATAGTCAAAGTTTATGAAATAATACTCTTAATATGCACATATTACAGAAGATGAAATTAGAGAATAGAAAGAGGTAAAACAATTTACATAAAGGTAAATTTAAACGTATTATTTTATTTATTAAATATATGTAACTGAGATATAAAAACACAAAAAGGTAATAAGGGAAAAGAAAAAAATAGGAGAAAATGGAAATAAAGTGTTTGTAAATGGGGAGGAGAGGAGGGAGTGAAGGGAGGGCAGGGACAAGGGGGAAAACTGAGAACCAAGACCTGTCATGTAGAGGTACAATATCCCAATAATGAATTTAACTGTACTGTATACCTAAAATGTACCAATAAACTCAGTTTTAAAAACACAAAAATTTTACATTAGTGGGATGTGATGTTTCCATATATGTATGTATTATATAATTACAAATATTTTTTTCAGCTTTAATTGAGTTTATTGGTACATTTTAGGGATACAGTACAGTTACATTCATTGTTGGGATCTTGTACCTCTACATGACAAGTCTTG